ACCACTATTATATAGTTTGTAATAAAAATATTTTAATAATTGATAGGTAGGTACGTTGAAAACTATTATTCTTTGCTTCTTTCCAAATTTTTTATTTACAGTTTTCCATAAGGGAGGTAAAGAGTGTCGGATGTTGTTCAGTATTAAAAATCCGAGTAAAAATCATTACTGTTCTCTTATTTTAAACAAAAACTTCGTAATTTATTTTCTACATCCGAGTACATCAGTTATGATTCCACGGCAAATTTGTTTTTTATTTCAGGGTTCCGATTAAAGTAAGGTTAAAAATCACTCAACAAAAAAGTACCTACAGCACGAATTTCACATTTACTAAATATTTTCTACATTTACTTACTAAATATTTTTTACATTTACTTACTAAATATTTACCAATCCAATATTTAGGAATAATTACCACTATTTAGGTAGGTACATAATTCCATTTCAATACGGCAAGCGGACTATTGCGATGCGATCCTACTACTATTACCTCGACTATAACAACATAGTGAATCGAAATTACATTTTGGAATAAACGTAAATCCGAGTATACCTAAATTACGGTAATAAATGTACCTGGATTGCACTCATAGCCATAAACTTCATAAGAAAAGATCACGTTTTATAGAGATAGTATTTCGTAGAAGAAAAAAATACCAAATATTTGTTGTTAAATTTAAGATGAACAAAAAATATATCACTTCAAATATTAATGATAAGATTGATAAGTACTGAGATGTACACATGACATCTTTCTTTTAATGAAGAAAATTGTCAATACCGAAGTAATAAAATAATTTCTTATTAGATTATTAATCTTTTTCGACTATGCCAACATGCTTACTACTCGACCCGCGAAAGGGCTTGCGCATGAGCCTTGCCGAGGTGGCGAGGTAAGGCCGGTGTCCCATGCATCCGAATTCCGACGATACGAAGGTCCGAAAGTGTTCCTATTGGTTAATATACATTCAAATTTTTACCGCTCATGTTCATCCGAAATTTTTAAAATTCATACGACGTCGGAAAAAGTAGAAATAATTTTAACTTTTATCCGAAATCGTATGTTTTTTAACCTCACTTTTTAAGTTTTTAACATACTATGATCACAGAGTAAGTAATACAGAGGAGACCGCCGGCGGAATGCCTTTGATGTCTGGACATTCTCTAATTTGACCTTGTCCCTTTAAATGGGCAGTGGGCAGTGTTGCCAAACTTTCAGTTTTTCCCTAGAAGCAATGTTGCCTTTTACCTACTTTGTTTTTTTTTTGAAAATTTACGTATTGGGTGATGTTGCGGTGTACTTTAGAAAGATATATTTTTGGAATTATTATTCACATGCATCCGAAATTAATCTCATAGAAATCAAGTATAGAACCATGGAATTTATTACAAGATGAAGGTGAAACATTTTCAAATGACAACCATAGGTTTATATTATAGAAAATATACGTAATATTATATTTTCTACATTCGACATTATAATATAACATTTATTTGACTGTAAATATATCAAACAACAATCATAGTATGTTAAAAACTTAAAAAGTGAGGTTAAAAAGCATACGATTTCGGATAAAAGTTAAAATTATTTCTACTTTTTCGGACGTCTTATGAATTTAAAAAATTTCGGATGAAAATGAGCGGTAAAAATTTGAATGTGTATTAACCAATAGGAACACTTTCGGACCTTCGTATCGTCGGAATTCGGATGCATGGGACACCGGCCTTAAGTATATAATCTAGGAGCCCAGTGCCCAGCCTAGATAAATGATACTATAGATAGGAAACTTGAACAGATTTCGTGGTCATTAACAGCGCTAAGTGTTGACATTTTCTCCAACTTCTATTGCTTTCCTTTTCTAGGAATTATCGGTAATACAGTGAGTTAAATTACCTGTAGCCGGTAAAAGATGCAAGCGCCATCTAGTTGTACGCTCTACAACTATATACCTACCTACTCAATATTTGTTTTAGGTATTCTGACGCCGCTAATTTAAAATTACATATCAAATCTCACCCTACACAGATCACTCAGAAATTGATTTTGTAAAATAATTTTCACGTGGTTAATTTTTTTTTGTCACCATGAAAAAATAAGTACTTTTGATAAAAAGCATTAAAATCACTCAAGCATTAAAGACACTTTTAAATGCTCTAATAGTCTTCCTACTTAAAATAATAAATAATTTTGATACTGTAACTTTTTAAAATGTTTGTTGAAAAAATTTCAAATTTCAGTACATATTTTGAAAAAAAAGTGTGGAAATGATTATAGAGTTTCAGTATATCTTCAGTCTATATTGTATTAGCTTTCACGGTGAATAAAAAAATATTACAAGTAAATAATTTTACTAAACCAATCTTTGATTAATTCTTGTAATAGAGATTTATTATGCAACTTTAAATTTTTCGTTGTGTTGATATCCATAAAAAAAACTACCTACCTCTGATCACATTTTTTATTAAAAAAAAAACAAAACATTTTATTATTAATAAAAATATGTGATTATATGATGATCAGACATTATTATGTTATATAAACAAATGTGAATGAAATATCTAATAAAACGCACTAAAAACACAAATAAAACACACAACAACACTCGCCAAACCTAACCAACATGAATGACATGAAATGATTCATAATTGCAATTATCAAAATTTATTCTACAAAATCTTTGTGGCGACATCTATAGACTCTTTCCCCAACTTGTATATCCATCTCAAGTCACGTGGTTCCCAGTTTTCTCGGGCCCTGGTGCCCAGTGCCCCAGTGAGCCGGATCACTGATCAGTCGTATCATATTCCGCCCAACTCTGTCTCTGTATGTCAATGTCAATATTGTGCTTGTGACATCTTAATATAACCTAACATAACGAATATAACGATGTTTTAAAAATATTCAATATTTTTCAAAAGTTTAATGATAAATCAAACTAATACATGTAAACATACGTATACACTTGAATTAGAACGTCAAGAAAATGCAGGACAAAAAGGCGTCAGAAAAACCAGATCCATGTGATAAACAAAATTCATTACAAGTAATAATAACATGCATTTGTGCAGCAGGTTTAAGATATTGGCTAATGGTATCAAACTACCAATCAATTATATCAAATCACATAGAAGTTTCGACTCCTTTGAATTCATGGAAGAGAGTATCGGAAGGACTGTATCTACTTTCAATAAATGTTGACCCTTACAATGGTGATTTACTTCATGAGACACCACTTTCACTGTTTTTCTACAAATCATTATTGCAACTATATCGGCAACAAATTCATTGGATGTTTATTACTTTTGATTTGGCAACAGGGGTAATGTTATTTACTATAGCAAGAAAATACATAAATGAATTGTATAAAGACGAAAACAAAAATAAAAATGATTTTTCTAAAGATAGTGTACAATACATACTTAAACCTAATCAGTTGGTTAAATCACCTTTTTATGTATTATTAGCATTTTTATTTAACCCATTTACATTATTTAGCTGTGTGGGTTATTCAACTACGGTATTTCATAATTTTTTACTAGCTCTCATGTTATTTTCAGTGGTTTATGGATTTTCTGCTATTTCCTCCATTTGTTTAGCTTTATGTACATCAGTATCATTTTATCCAGTAGTACTAATTGTACCTTTATGTCTCTATTTTATAAATGTATTTAAGAGTGTCACAAAAGCTGTAATTAGCATAATAGTTTTTGTAGTTACTATATTACTTATAACGATGTTTTGTAGCAATTATGGCAAAAGTTTCACATATTTCAAAAATGTATATGGTTGCATACTGTCTGTTCCAGACCTACAGCCTAATATCGGATTATTTTGGTACTTTTTCACTGAAATGTTTGACCATTTTAGAGATTTATTTATATATTCATTTCAGATAAATGCTACCGTTTTATATTTAATGCCTCTATCAATTAAATTTAGAAAACAGCCATTCTTGTTAACTGTTGCAATTTTATTTCTTATTACCGTTTTTAAGTCATACCCAAGTATAGGGGATGTAGGCTTTGTACTTAGTTTAGTTCCTTGTTTTGCACATTTACTTAGTTACTGTCAACAAGGATTTTTAGTAGGTGTAATATTCTTAATATCAAGCTCACTGGCTCCTATTTTGTGGTACCTTTGGATATACTGTAATTCAGCAAATGCCAACTTTTATTTTGGAGTAACTTTAGCTTTCGCTATTGCGCAAATATTTTTATTAACTGATATATTATTTGCACAAGTTAAGCGAGAATTTATGCTTAAGCATGGGAAGGATCGTAAAATTAATGGAGATGAAGGAATACTCTGTTTAGAATAATAGATCAATAAAATCTTTTCATAAATATGTATTTTATTTGAAATCAGTTCCATGTTTTATTGTTAAATTTTCAATTGCCTATTATACTAGTTTAGAATTTCCTATTTTTGAACCTTTGTTTGTGAGAGTAATCATGTCAAACTGATCTTGTAATCCTCTGTGACGAATAACAGGGTGATATTTATCAAGAATTTTACACATCTGTAAAAAAAATAAATAAGCTATGAATACATGGATGCATAAGTTTGTAAATACAAAATGCCACACCTACAAGGTGCCCCACAAAACTGTGGTTATACAACAACTGACTGCTAAAAAAATGTTTTTATTTTAACATCACAGGGTTTTAGTTTTATTTTTGAAATTACTTTTCATTGGTATCTGACAACCAACATAAGATAGGTTCCTGATTGAAATTTGGTGCCCTACAAAAATGTGGAAAGAAATAAATAATTTATTTAATCCATAAAATTTAAATAAATATAATTTACAAAAAGTATTATCTACAAATCAAATAAATTGATAAAGTGGTGGAAGAAATATTTTTAAATAACAAGTTCATATACATACTACAGAAACATTTCCTAATTAAAAAACTCATAAGTCTAGTTTTAAAAATATTAAAATTTAATTCAGATCTGATACTGAATCATAAATTTAATATCCCTGTAAGGTGGAGATTTTTCATAAAAGGATGTTTTATAGTAAGGTATTTTGGTAAATGTGATTGTCATTTCTAACCAAAAATTTCCCTTTTTTTAAATTAAACATTTCATTTATTGCATCAGTGACAGACACATATGTTACTCCTTTTTATTTTTCCTGCACCTTTGTAACATGTTTCTGAATCAAATAACCTATGTTAGTTTTCAGATATCAATGAAAAACTTTTAAAAGTTAAGATTTTAACATCCTATAATTTTCAAAAGATAAGTTGACTAAAATCCAACTGGACTAGTGCACATAGTGAGTATAAATACCAACTAGAGAATTTCATTTAAAATTTCTTCTGAAAAAAGATGGCGATATACCTCGAAACATTAAGAAATTAAAACTAATGATGTGGCAATTAGCCTGAAAATGGTTCACTCATTAAATTCAATTATTTTTTGTGTCGCTTGCTCTGTTTTCTGGGATCCCTGTATGATTAAAATGAACAAAACGATACACATAAACCACCAAGAATTAGATAGTAAACAATATAAAACACGTAGATATTCATTGTTTTCTTAATTTTATTTTCCTAAATATAAACTGGAAAAATTAACAAAATTCATAAAAAAAATATTTCAATGCCTTGAGAGATAACAAATAGGTAACTTATAAGAAAAATGTTTCTTATATTGCGTATACAACCCCTAGAGTTTTAGGCAAGATATTTGGAAACACCCTGCATACATTTCAAATTAGTAAGTTAGTACATACATACGTACCTATCTAGAATTAAATATTAAAAACAATTATATACTTGTAGTTTATGCTAGAATCTATACAAATAGCAACGTAAAAAGTATTCAATTACTATTTAATAAACTACTGTTGCCTCAAGCAGGGGCACTGTGCAGGACATACAAGTGCAAGGATAGCAAAGGTGACAATAATTTCAGTATCTTGTTTAAACCACAACCAGAAATTCAAATAAAAAATGATACTAAATTATTAAACCAGTTGATAAACTTACATGTCTAATTGTTGGCTTATATTTAACAGAAGGGAAATGTATAAGCATCAATAACAATTTTGTCAAGTTCTCCCATTTTCTTCGTATTATACTATCTTTTATTGCTTTAAAAATAATTGAGGGTGAATTCCAAGGTGGTTTAGCACTTGATTGTATGTGCGATAAACAATTCATTAATTTTTTTTCTTCATTACCAAGCTTTTTTTGAAATTTTAATAGTGAGAGCATATGATCCATTTTGCGCTTAGGTATAACTGGAAAAATAACTTTTTCGGACAAAATTTTTTGTTTCTCCAAGTTAATTTCTTCTAATTTCATATTAGTTTCATCAAATATAATGTTCCGTTCTTTTTCAAGAAGTGTAACTATCTTTTTATGACTTTCACTTTCGGAGTCACTGTCCTCAGCACTTTCATTAAGTTTTAAAAGCTTCTTTTTGCTACATACTAATTCTTTTATTATATTCGTTCTATTTTTATGATCGCAATTCACAAAATTCAACTGTTGCAAAACCACATGCAAACTTTCTTTTTGGATGTCCTGGAGATAAATAGTTTTAATATCTTCAGCCATAATTAGCTAGTTTTCGTTATCTAATTAAAAATTCCTAGTTCCTACAAATAAGTATAGGTATTTCATATTTTCTAAATTACTTCATTCAAAAGTAAAGGTTTATTTATTTACCTATTCCCTGGTGGACTGTTTTCATCCAGACCAACTCTGTTCATTAATTTCTTAAAAATGGATCTCTAATTATAAAATGATTTAAGAAATTTGAAATTTACAGAAATTCACAAATACAGGTTATAATGTAAATAACTGAAAAGTGAAAACCACAAAACAGTCTGAAAACTGAAGAGAAATTAATTTCATAGATTTAACATGTGAAGACCTTTCCATTTGGTAAAGTAAAAATATTAGTTATCAGGAGCTATTAGGTGTGTTTTGGTTCCGAATTCCGATAGAGAAGTAGAGAACAATTCTAGGACGGTTCAAATTAGTTAACCATTCCACTCATAACCCAAGACATACTAAAGGAGAGAACGCATTAAGCGGTCGCGGTCCCATCGCATCGCGGTCCGTTCTGGGCTGAGCTGATCGCGGTCTTTTAAATTATTCGCATTTGGCAATAGGGTTGTTGACCAAATTTCAAAATGTATAAATTCTACACGTACTAATTAGTGTGAATGCACAATTAGAGATTGAGAAATGCGTCGGAACAGTTTTAAAATAATTATTTAAAACTGAATGTTTTATAATATTTCAAAACGGCTGTGACGTCATAAGCGGCACCTTGTAGTGCGCGCCGCGCCATTATTCCATGGCTAGAAATTGGCCTCAATGATTTGGGATCGAGGGGGTTTATCCCTCTTTATCCTGCCTCATCTCGTGTAGGCCTTGACAGCGGCCGGTGTAGGCGCTTTGTGGGACCTCCTTTTGTCCTGGCTGGGCCCCGCCGGCTAGGGCCCTTTCTTCTGGCGCTCTTCTTGCTTCGCCGGCTCGGGCTAGGGCCCCCCCTTCTGGCGCTCTTCTTGCTTCGCCGGCTCGTCTGTGTAAACCCCGGGGGTAGTGTCATGTTTATGTGCTTTGCTAAGGTGGCCCTTAGGCTAGCGCGGGAGGGGAGGGNAATTGCCAACTGGCTTTATTGCCTGAAGAAGACGAAGTGGCACATCGGAAGGTTTTACTTCTCCACATACTTTCCTGACTTCCAGTTAAGTGTGAGCCGATTTGTTTCCATAGAACACCCCACTGCGAGGAGGGGAGTATAATTGTTTTTGTCCCTTGTCCGCAGTTCTCAATTTATTAGGAAGGGGCTAGAATATGGGGGGAAATAATTTAAAAAAATGTTTGTATCCTTTTGAAGACAAAATACGACTAAATTAGTTAGTGGATGTACGCTGTACGTACTTTAGAGGTTTACGCTATAATTGGGAAATTAAAAATAAAGTAGCTTTCCACTTAAATCCTTTATAAATACAAAACACCTATCAAGTAAATATAAACTGCTCATTTATCTAAACCAAAATGTGTAAGACGTGTGTTTTTGGTATTTGGTACGTTTTAAAAATGACACGACTAAAAATATCGATGCTGCTTCACGTATCAGAAATTGTATTGAAGTGAATGGGTCATTAAGAATATTTGTTAGTTAGAACCTTGTTAGTTAACATCTGTTTTCTATTATTATTATGACTATTAAGAGCATATTATATTAATAAATTTATTATCCTCATCTTATTTTTCCACAATGCTATTACAGAGCCGAAAAAAATATATTAAAGTGAAAAATCTAACTTATACATGCTTTAAACAATTTTTGTTACAATTCGTAACACTGTAATTACTAATGATATTTATTTGAAGCATGGCAACTTAATTAATTACAGAAAGAATTATCAAAAATTTGATGTTTAATAAAACTTTAATAGCGATTTTCTGCTAAAATTTTCTGTTAAATTTATCGGCTTGAATAAAGAGTAAGTACATAATTTTTTATGATATTGTTTCTCTTTTAAATAATGTTTAAATTTCTGTGATGTCTTCTAGCAAGGGAAAAAAGTTATGAACAAAACAAATTTTGAGTTCTGGGTAAATAATGAAATATGCGTTTTTGGCTCTTAATAACATCGTTGAACTCGAAATTTATAGCTTTATGGGGTGGTGCAAAATCCAATATAGCGTCCAGTATGATTATGAAGACATAAAAGGATCTAGGAGACCTGGAAATTGTTTTAATCTTGCAGTATATCGTCTTTTGTATACATACATACTTCCAATAATAAAAAATATATTATGGAAGAAATAAAAATAGCCAATTTTCAGTTTTTTCAGCCTATTTCAGGAACCGTACAAATTACCTCCAATTTAATAAAGTAATTGTAATTTAACCAATCCTGTATATCTTCTAGTTCAGGAGATACTAATGGTATAGAGGTACATCTTAAAAGTGACCACCCTGTATAAAATCACAGCTTATAAAATCAACATTATCACATGATTTCTTAAATCAGGAAAAAAGTGTGTTGATAATAAGTTTTTCGAAACGTTAGCTGTGTATCGTGAGAAATTATCTACCTCATTTTTTATTAATCCATCGATATCGGAGACCTTTCAAAAATCAAATTAAAGCTGAATAAATCCTGTTTCCTACTCCCCTCCTGTTTCTACTGAATTTTTTTTCGAGGTATGTATTTTTTTTTGATTGCTCAATAACCGTAGCTGAAAAAATGTTTTTGTTTAAGGATCTTGAAACTAGAAACTTACTTAACGTTTGAAAATTCTTTTTTTTTTCTCATTACGACCACTAAAAAATCTATGACATTTTTAACAATAACAATAATAATAATAATAATAATAATAATAATAATAATAATAATAATAATGATAAAGAAGTGCTTTGCGCCACCCCCAAAATCAGTCTCTGGATCCGGGCCTGGGCCAGACCCGGTACACAGCTGAGCCAAAATGTGTAAAATGTGGCGAAAACCACAGCACGCACGTCTGCAAAAAGGCCAAAGATACGCCCGCTAGGTGTGCAAATTGCGCCGGGCCACACCCCGCCAGCTATATGAGGTGCCCACAGTACCCCAAAGCTAAAAACACAAAAACACAAAACACAAACACACACACGACACAAAACACTACACAAACACACAGACAGCCCCTCCTACCCACCCCAAACACAACCCCAGGACGCACATACGCTGACATGACCAGAAAAACACAAAACACACAAAAACAAAAACACAACACCTCACCACACGCACACACAGACACGACACCCTCCCAACCGGGCGCGGCGGCCCTGATTGACGCAACAAAGCGTCTTCAGGACTTCTGCGTCCAGCTGACGACCATGGTGTCGAATATGCAAAAATTATTCGACTTCTAATGGCTCGTCGGCCCTCCCAACCCTCCTCGCTGAGAATTTCGTCCTGGAACCTTGACGGGTTCCGGGCCAAAAAAACGGAACTCGTGGACATCTTGAACCGTCTAAACATAGACGTTATGGCTGTCCAGGAGACCTACCTCAGCGAGGCATCCCGTACCTCCATCCCTGACTATGACATATACAGACATGACAGAAACCGTAACGGGGGTGGTGTTGCACTCATAGTAAAGAAGTGCATCGACCACTATCCGCTGCAGCGGCTCCAAACTCAAAACACAGAGGCCGTGGCGATAGCGGTGAGATCGCTACGGCATGGAGACGTTGCGGTGGTGTCCTGTTACCACCCACCCAGACTACCACTACTTGACAATGACTTAGACAAAATCCTTTCCTGGCCCCAGACAATTGCCATCGGGGACTTCAACGCGAAGTCCCCCATATGGCACAGCGGGACGACGACCACAAGAGGTCGCGTCCTGCTGAATTACCAAGACAGACACGACGACTTGACTATACTCGGACCGACAGAACCGACACATTACGGACCCGTAGGACGCCCCGACGTTATCGACATTGCCCTCTTAAAATCTATACCGTTAAATGCCCAAATATCCACCCAATACGAAGGGTCTTCCGCCCACAATCCAATATTTCTGGATCTGGGGCGAAGACAGAGATATGAAGGCACCTTCACGAGGAGGTTCACTGACTGGGAGCGTTTCCGAACAGTAATGCAAGGAAACATGGCGCTCCCAGTCATCGAAACCACCCATGATCTGGAGGCGGCAATCCTCTCCCTTGAGACTGACATTAAAAACGCCCTGACTCAGACTACGACGGAGACTATTGTCCCCCGACTGACAAACCCCCGGGGCACCCTCCCCGATGACATAAAAAACTTAATACGTGACAGACGACGTGCG